ATATACGTATACAAACTTTGAATTGATGTGTTGATAAGAAAAGCATTTGACTCTTGTCAGCAGATTTTTTTTATAATCTGTGCAGTTATAGATTTTGAAATTCGAATTGGGTTGTCTTTGCGTGGAACTAGAATTTCAATTGAATAATTTTGATGGTTTATGGTGTTGGTATTTTGCATTGCTGGCGTCCATTTTTATAGGACGTTCTACTCTACCATTTCCTGAACACATAGGTATACATTTATACATCTTATTTCCTTATAAAAAATCCTTTTGAAGATTCATCTAAAATGAAAAAAAAAAACAGTAATAAATACCTGCAATAATGTAGACGATAATCTTACTTTATTGTACGCGTTGTAATTAATGTTATATTTACTTTAACTTCGAAACTAGAGCGATATGACGAGGTGGTAAATATTAAAGTATGCCAGGGACAACAGACATTTGGTATGGTTGTACGAATGTGATTAGGAATATATCTTTATATATAATTCTTCTGTGAGTGTGTACTACACTGAACTTCTCTCAAACGACTGGATCGATTTTGATGAATTTTTTTGTGTGTGTTCAAGGGGATCTGGGAATGGTTTAGATTCACAAATCAGCCCGGTAGATGGTGCTGCAGTCGGTTTCTAGGCTATTTATCTATACCTATTATTACAGGACAACGTCTGTCTGGTCCGCGAGTATATATACCTCTATAAATAAAACCCGTTTCCCGTTGTCACGCCATAACTTGAGAACGGTTAGACCGATTTGTCTGATTTCTTTTTTGTTGTGTTTGTTATCGTCAGGAGAAGGTTCTTATGACAGAAAAAGTCCTGAAACTCCTACGGGAATGGGAGAAACGGAATTACGCGTACGAAGTCGCGGGCAGGAGCTAGTTTCTTACTAAAGATCAAATCAAAAATAGTTTTAAAGTATTTGCGTTCTTGTCATAATCTCGAAGATGATTGAATTTTGCAAAGAGGAAAGTACCTCTATATATGCAAATAAGAGCTTTTCTCTTGATATTCTTTTGTTTATAACGGTAGAAAATTCCCCGTGGAGTTTTTGTTGCCAAAGTGTGCGTTATATACAGGGGCATTAATTGCCGTAATGTGCATCTCTGCCTACCCCTTCGGGGTTAAAAGGCCTGATGATATGTTTAGGTATCTTTTTTAAGGTCGCAACTCAAAACAGGAATATAGTAAGTACACACAGCTACACATCGAGCTTTACATAACCAGTATAAACTGAACGTTAAATGTGCGGAAAAATGATGCGACGCAACACCAGGATAAACTGGTTTTGTATAGATTGATGTGTGGCCGTGTGTACCTACCATGTCCAAACTACTGACACTTTAAGGGCCAATTTAAGTAAGGGTACTTAGCATAATATGACATTTAAATTGACATGCACGCTCACTTAAACACCTTAATAATTCGTGTACAGCATCTAATTACTGACGACATTGGTTTTATCGCTCAAAGGGTCTTGCATCGTCCTCACGTTGCACAAATTGATTCCGTACCTAGATAAACCTATACGGTAAAATCAATACTAAAATTATAAAGAGGAAAGATCCGTATGTATAAACATACATACGGATCTTTACAAACGTAAGGAATTAGCTCAAAAAGGTCTGGACAGATTTTAAATGAATTTGAATGTTACGTTATCATTATCACTGCTATATTATATAGGCTATTTTGTCTACCTATCTGAATCCAGGACGGTCTGGTTTGTCTGTCTGTCAGTTTGATTTAATGGGTTACCGGGGTTCCGGCTCGAAGGGCAGGAGTAGGACGGGGGAGTTTTAGTCAGTAGGAGTCTGACTTTCCCTTTCGCCTGTCGCGGAGAACCTAACGGGTAACCGGGGCTCCGGCTCGACGTGCAGGAGAAGGAACGGAGTGGTTTTTAGTCAGTAAGAGTCTGACATTCCCTTCCGCCTCACCCAGGCGGGAGTAGTCATTCGATGATTTACCCCTTAAAAAAAATCCCTTTCGCCTCACCCAGGCGGGAGAGGCCATTGGATGATTTTCCCCCTCAAAAAAAAAGACGGTTGCTAGTCTGAAATAATACATACGTGAATAAAGGTAAAAGTGTAAAAATAGAACTCCTATGCTTGCATACTATTGGGAGTGGGCTTATTGCCGTATACTAGACATGACTCCGGTCTTCATGTTATTGCTCAAACATTTCAAAACAACCAAAAATTTCCGGTATTCCGGAATATTCTGGAATTGAATCCGTTGCTCAGTAGAAGCGCTTGTGTGACCACCAATCGATAAGGTAGTCTGACCACAAAATTGAAAAAAAAACCTCGTATTTTGCAGCCTAATTGAAATTATTGGCTGTGATCGAAATCGATCCAGAAACATCCATGACACACAATCTGGTCATAAAATTCGCATACAAGTGTTTATTATTCTGTGAGAATGAAGGAAAAATCTTTATTTACCTATTTTAGTGTAAGTGCTGTCATTGATAGAAACTGCAAATGACTTCATATAGATACATGAATGCATTGTAATCGATTTGAACTCGATAAAATATTTCAGGCAGGAAAATTTTGGAGCATTCAATATAGAATTAAATGTTATCACAGTTATGGTATGAGGAAAAATTTTATTCTCTTATTAACAGTTAGGTTTTTTGGAGGACATAATACCACAATAGGTATTTGTTATTTAATAGTTACAATAATGTAATAATCATGTTATATTTCCGCATTGAACATGACGCCTATTTATCTACAATCATGTAATGATTTCCTGAGTAAGAGAACTCGATATGAAAAACATCCAAGTTCTTAAACATAGGCAGGCACTAACGACCACCCACAACAAAAAGATGGTTGAGATAGCAACCTAACATTTAATGACTCTTCGATATATTTAGCCTATGACGTCACGATTAAACCCCACAGTGCTCCGTGGGTGGTCAATGAGACCCTTCAGAGACGTTTATTCGGTAGTCAATATTCAATTTAGCAAGATTGCTATTATTTTATACAAGTGTATGATGTCACGTATGTGAGGAATAACGTCATTAAAGTGTTTGACGGGTTAACTGGACTAGTTTCAAACCACCCCTGGGACTCTTAGTCATAAGCAAGCTTTGCGGGACAAACGATGTGGATTTTGTTTTGAAATAAGCCTTTTAAAATGTACGCAATAAAACGCATAAGTATATAATTTATTACCTACTTTAATTAATTGAATATCTTACAATAATAGATAGACATAGTGTAATATATGGTAACAACAGTAATTTCAAAAATAAATAGTTACTATGACGTAACTTCATGTTTATGTAGACCTAAACAAAAACAGTATCTTAGTAATAATCATTAATTATTCATTTTTAACTTCTATAGAGATCTTAGCAAAACGAATGCCAATCCGATTACAATTAATTACAAGTTACAACAACTCGATAACTTAGGTATTGCTGCCGTATAGACACACAAGCAACTAGAACTAGATAAACAATATTTATCTACTTATACAACAAAAATACATAAGGTGCATAAAATTATCGTTTAATAGCAATTATCTCATAAACAAGTCGTTTGTATTTAAGTTTACAATATTTACGATAATTGTACGTCTTGCATAGTGTTGAGATAAGGCTGAGATACACCAGCGGGAATTACACATTGTTTGTTAAAGTATTGATGTTAATGTGTTTTCACCCTTATCCTAAGCTATATGCGGTTGCCACAATATACGTTCTTTTCCGTTTTATCTTATTGCAAATTTCTTTTTGCAGCAAGTATTTTCCATAATTTTAGTCGAACTCGTCTCTTTCTGAGATCACTGTATTAAGTTAGATAAATAGAAATATCTTTACTTTATTTGTTACTTAGTAGCTTTTTTATGGAATAAGCCGGTAAACGAGCAGACGGATCACCTGATGGTAAGCAATCAGCTACGCCCATGGACACCCGGAACTCCAGAAAGCCTTTTGGAGATTAGGAATTTGAGGATTGTTGGGGATTCAGGGATTGGGGATCGAAGAGAGGATTATTGGGCCTTCGGTAAACTCACTCACACAACGAAACATATAAACGTTATTTCACGTCGGTCTTCCGTGTGGCCGTGGTATTACTCCGGTCGAGCCGGCCCATTCGTGCCAAATCATGGCTCTCTCACAATTAAATAATTAGAAAACTTAAAACTAATTAGAAAGAAAGTTAAGCAGTAAGCATGACTACCATTGCTATCTAAGGGTTAACGTATATGAAGTAATGAGGTCAAAAAGTCCTCGTTATCTGATAACCCTGAGACAGTACAGAAAGGTCTTTGAGTAACGCAAATGATATAATATCGACATTAAGTCATGTGAGAACTTTTCATAATACGTGTAGGGAAGTTATGCTTTGTTTTTAAATTGATAAAGCGCATACACACGTGATTAATCTAATCTTACTCATTTGTTAATGCGTTAATTATATCTGTTTTGTTAAGAGAATGCAATACCGGTTTTATTTGCCAATTAACGCCCGAATGTTAAATCGTAGTAGCAGGGAGTTCGGAATTGTGCCCGGTATATGGCAATAGGCTTACCCCCTATTACATGGTACTCATAACATAAATAGCGAAAAGTGGGTGTTACATTGTACAGTGGCATAATGTGCACCTCTGCCTACCCCTTCGGGGATAAAAGGCGTGATATTATGTTATCTTATGTTAAATCGTTACTCAATTTATAGTTATACTTAAATATGGAGCCATCTGTGTCATTTTACAAAGAATTTGTACCGACAGAACTGGTCGTCGTTGGTTTGGTTATTTGGACACTAGACTCTAGACTTTATTAAAATAACTCTGTGTGATCCACAAATCGTGGTTCCAGGTCTGGATGTGATGTGTATGTGAACTTGTATGTTTGTGAACGCACCCACGACACAGTAGAAAATCCTAGTGTGGGCCAAGTTTTTTTTTTAAATACCCTACTTCTATTTGTATATCATATAATTTTATTTGATTCTAACGTCTCTATTACAGGAAAGACTCCGTACCATTCATCAAAAATGGACTACAAGGTACCATCACGAAGACTCCAATACCAGAAAAACCTGGGAAGGCTGGTAGGGGCAAAGCTCTGCGGCAGGTGATGGCATCGTTCGTTGCCAACCTGGGTACCATTAATACTGGCATGGCCTTTGGGTTCTCCGCCACTTCTCTACCGCAGTTGAAAAGCCCGGACTCCTTTATACATATCACTGATACCGAGGCCAGTTGGATAGGTAAGGATTTTATCTTTTTTACACAAATTGTGTGTATGACTAGTTTGTTTATTTATTAGCCAATAATTGACCACAATTGCATTTTTTGTCTGCTTCGTTGGCCAAGTGGTCGCAAATGCGACTGCCGGGCAAAGAGGTCTCGGGTTCGATTCCCGGGTCGGGTAAAAATTACAGGGATTTAAAAAAATCTCAGTAGTAGCACGGTGTCTGGAATTGTGCACATGGGAATAAATAATGAAAAGTGGTTGTTACATCGTACACTGTAATGTGCACCTCTGCATATCCCTTCGGGGTTTATTGTTATTATGTTATTAGACATTTTTGGTTTTGGAATTTTATCAAAGGTGACAACTTTTCGTTTTTGACATCCCAACTTTACTATTTAAGTTCTCAATCTGACCGTTTTAGAAAGTTTCCTAAACGGAGTACGCATTAATAAAACATTCCAAAACACTGTAAACACATCACAGTATTTTCCACGCCAAAGTTAATTTTGGCGAAAATCTTCCGAGATGGCGAAATCTGTCTAATCAAAGATGACTGATCTACCTAAGATTTTCGTTTAAAATAGTCATGCGGAAGTTATTATGCGATATTATATGACTAGGCATAGATAGTTATATAATTAGTTACATTTACTCTTATCACATTCACATGTACCTCCCCTCTTCTGTTATCTTGCGATTATACTATGTAAACAGAAGAAGATAAATTACATTAGACAAGTTTGTTGGCAAGCACATTTTGTATTTTTTATCTTTTACTAAGATTACTATTTGTAGACTCGGGTTTTTCAGAGGTTAAGGACATTTGTACTTCCATTTTGTTTATCTCAATGTCATAGATACAGACGTATTAGACTTTTTGATTGAAATAATTTGTACATAATAGACTAAATAGCGTCACTTGCATATTCCTTGCACTAACTGTATAGCTTTATTTAATAAAGTCTTTCTTACGGCTAATTACGATCTTTGGGATTCTATTGAATTTCTGTCAAAACCTAAATGGATCTCGAAATTTTAAATCGAATCGGTTATTATTGACGTGACAACGTCTTATAAATTGGTTTGCCGGGTGACATTTCAAGAAAAGGCACGCGTCCCTTCCACTCGGGCATGGTTAGCCCGCCTAAGAGGGAGAGAGACAGACATCGTTGTCACGTAAAACTTTCGCCCGTATACCGACTTTACAGGCAACCAATTTTTTCAGTTGTTAGGTACTTAATCTGTTCCTCCCTTATGTTTATATATAATTTATTATTTATTTACAAAAGTTTATTGTAATTTGTTACAGCCAGTTTAAGTGCAGCCGGTACGCCGATAGGATGCATTCTCAGTGGATACCTCATGGACACCATTGGACGCCGAAGGACACTCATCATCACTGAAATACCGCTCATATTCGGATGGCTTATGGTTGCTTTTGCGCAAAACGTTCCCATGTTATATATCGGTAAGTAAAGTTTTGTTTTATAATAAGTGAGCTATTAATAAAGGCAAGAAATAACGATTCATAAAGGTTTTAAAAATTGTTATAGAACTGTATACAGACACATCGTCACGCCTGTCTCTCATTGGGTAGGCGAAGATAAAGAAAACATCAATTATTAACGGTTTAACCATCTTATGGTAAACAAAATAAAAAAATACGATTGAAAGCCATGGAATTACCAGCTTGGTTGATTTTCATTTCAAAATGTTGCAACGGTCAATTTTCATTCTTTAAATGACAGACTTATAGACAGGTCTATATCTGTATTTTCTGTCTCGCCCCAAGACTGAATGTAATGTGCAATTTTTACTTTTAAGAATTTGAAGTACATGAATACATAATGTCTGAGTTTTTATATTAACTATCGTGAGACATACTAAATTAAATAAAAACGCGGGTTACTATAGTGAATACTGAGAAGAGCTCACTGGACTCACTGAGTTGCGCGACATCGCCGCGACCGCGCACGCTGCTCATGAGGAAGAACCCTCTGTGGTTCGAAACTAGTAGAACTTCTCTCAGTATTCACGACAGCAACCTGCGATTTTAGTTAATATAATGTCTGACCCGCAAATTGTTGTTCCGGGTCTAACTAGGTTAAATGCGATGTGATGTCTATATTAGTAAATGTACCAACGATAAAGAAGAAAATCCTACGGGTCAAGTTATTATAAATGTCCCTTAGATGAGACCTATGTCAAGTTTTAACCCCTCGTGGCTCGAGCGTCCTTATGAGCACCCGGTGGATCATAAGAAAAAATGCTCCATGCTGCTTTCTCTTTTATAAAATCTATTATTAATGTTTTGTTTTTATTTTGACTGTATTTGTTTTATTTCTATTGTAATGATCATTGTTTTCGTGTGCCAATGGCCAAATAAATGCATTTTCTTGCATGCATAAGGATAAGGAAATGCATAAGGAACGCGGACGCTCGACGGGTTAATCATCGTCAATAACATTACAGGCAGGTTGATGATCGGCTTCGGTTCTGGCATGGTGGGTGCACCCGCCAGAGTCTACACGTGTGAAGTGTCCCAGCCACATCTTAGAGGAATGCTCGGCGCTCTTGCTTCTGTTGGTGTGTCCACTGGAGTTTTGATACAGGTTAGTCTTTATGAGTTAAATACGTTTTTGTTCATTTTTTATGAGGTTAACGTGCAAATACGTCGTCTGATGATAAGCGGTTACACCGACATGATAGTAGAAAACTGGTGGCATTTGCAATTCCTTCGGTTTCTGTATGTTTGGGTGGAAGGGAAGGAGGTTTAGCCTCCAATAACAACATTTACTCTGTGAAACACAGCGCAAGAGATGTCTCAAATCAATTTTTCTTCATAGAAAATAACAGGCTATAGTATTTCAGAGGCCTTAAGTACAAGTTTTTTTTTATGCTTAAAGTAATCTTAACGAGTACATGTTCGACGCTCTGATTGGTTGGTTCATTGGCGCCGGCCAATCAGATTGCCGAACGCGTACTCGTTTCGAATACTTTAAACGTAAATTAAACTCGTACTAATGATACGCCTCAGGCCTATCGTGCTAGAGTAGTCGCGGAGAACCTAACGGGTAACCGAGGCTCCGGCTCGACGTGCAGGAGAAGGAACGGGGTGGTTTTAGTCAGTAAGAGTCTGACACTCCCTTCCGCCTCACCCAGGCGGGAGCAGTCATTCGATGATTTTCCTCCCTTAAAAAAAGTGGTGGTCCATAGCTCAGCAGGATTTTGTTTTGTGGGATAAGCCGATAAACGAGCTTATGGATCGTCTGATGGTAAGCAATCCCCGGACACCTGGAACACCGAGGATTAGGAATTTGAGGATTGTTGGGGATTCAAGGATGAGGGGAGGGTATTTGGGTCTCAGTATTATAACAGGCTGTTAAAATGAAAACACAAAACAAAATAACGAACAACTGTAAATAATACAACATAACGAGAATCTATCTAATGGCATATAGTTTTATTTTACTGTTCTTTAATACAATTTCAACTTTACTCCTTTTGTACACAAAGTCCAAAATTTATTGAAGAAACGTGACAGATTTTAGTCTGTATCCAGTTTATTTTAAAGTGAAACTCGTTAAAAGCAGACTCATTACCGGCAGCATTTGGTGATTTCCTCTGCTTAAAAAAAAATCGTGCTAGAGTATAGCTATCCGACTTGTAACTTGTAACTTTGCCATCGTTTTTTGTAGCCGAAACTGAAATTAGGACTAGTCCTTCACATGTATACGCGTATTCACTGTAGTCCGTAATTATGTTGACTTTGGTATCGGAACCGATTCATTTTGCAATTTGCGAACCACGCACTCTAATTGCCTCCTCATGATATTTTACTAACGATTTCAATCACATGACCATCGGAAGTGCGGCCTTCAGGCGTGGATCGTGAGTTCGATGTCCGCGTCACGCTAAAAAGTTATATTTTTGGTAGTTGCGCAGTATATCATAATTAATCTTGATCAAGTGTCAACGTAGTTTGCTAAATTGCCTAATAGATATTATTATATATAGGTACATTACACAACACATATATACTTGTAATATTTCCTGTATTCTGAATCGGTATTTTCCTTGACATCACGATACATTTTCATGAGTAAAGTGAAGATATCATTTCTTCATCTATATTTTAGTCCTGAAAACTCAAATAAATAAATAGTATAAATCAGGCATTCTCAATAAAAATTCTCAGTAGTAGCACGGAGTCTGGAAATGTGCGCGGTATATGGCAATAGGCTCACCTCCTACTACATGGGACTCATAACATAAATAGTGAAAAGTGGGTGTTACATTGTACAGTGGTATAATGTGCATCTCTGCCTACCCCTTCGGGGATAAAAGGCGTGATGTTATGTTAAATCAGGCATTATGAATTGTCCACATCTAGCAAATGCACTTCGAGTGGTGTTAGATATGATTATCGTTAGATGTTGGTTGGTGTTAGATGTAATTATCATACGTATTTAAAACATTCAGCCGGACCTTTTCATAATTTAACTAATACCCAATGGAATGTTTCAATTTGCAAAATAGCTTTACTAATCCTTGCGGCACGATTTTCACAAATAGGTGCTGATTTTAATACTTACTTATTCCAATAAATGCTGGTTAAATTTAACAAAGTGATAAAAGGTACTGATAAAATCTAGTTTGAATATAAATTCACCAGTGTTGGGTACTTGCCAACCAGTCAAATTCAATACTTTTTTCGAACTGTCAATAACGACAGTTTTCTATGAACTTTGTAAGAGATTGTGTATTGTGACGTCACGTTTTTTTAGAGTCAAACAGCATACTTATTTCTGGACTTTTGCTAGAAAAATACTAAAATTAAGTTGGCCATAAAATAAATTAATGAAAGTTTCATTATTTTTTAATATTTTATTGTATTGAACAGTCGAAATAATAATTTTTTGATGAAGGCCAGTACCCAATTGACATAATTCTGTCTCCAATAAGAACACAAAATCTATCATAGTTTTTATGAAGTCGATGATAAATGCTACCGGCACATAGGTTATCAAGATTGGACATTAGTAGCCCATTCTAACAATAGACATATAATAGAATATTGAGTAGGAAGGAAATTATGAAACCATTAGTAAAAACGTGACTACCAGTGTAATTAGAGTAGTATGTAGTACAAATTGGCTGTTTTCCATTTTCCTTGCTATATGGTCGGTCTTTATTTGTCATTGACGAAGATCATGCTTCAAAAAACAGAGTGCCTAGCACGAAAACTATCGACAAAGTATTCGTAGCGACATCGAAAGCATTTTCTATGGGATTTGTACAGCGTACCGTGAGTAAAAGGAACTAAATGCCGCGAGCACGAATGATTTTGACAACTATCGTATAGTAGGTAATCGTATCGTGTTGCTATCGAAACTTAGAACATTTTGACACTAATTGGAAGCACGAACGATATTTTGATATACGGTAACGTAAACACGATTACTAGTTCGAGTATTCAGATGTCTGAAGTATGAATATTAGACCTAGAAGATTTTAACCCGTCGTGTGTCTATACGGGGATCCACGCGGAACACAATGTATTTTCTATTGTGTCTCATACCGGTACAATCAAGCGATTAATAATCGTTGTAGATTTTATAAGCAGAATTTATTATAACTTTGTATTTGCTGTGCTTAGTATAATGTAATCTTATCTAATGAATTAATTTTTTCATGGGATAAGCCGGTAAACAAGCAGACGGCTAACCTGATGGTAAGCAATCGGCGTCGCCCAACACCTGGAACCAGAGGCGTTACAAGTGCGTTACCGACCTATTGGGGATTAGGAATTTGGGCATTGGAAAAGGAGGTCCAGAAACCTCGCTCACACGTCGAAACACACCGCAAGCGTTGTTTCACGTCGGAATACTCTGAGGCCGTGGTATCACTCCCATTATGCCGAAGCATGACTCTCCCACACTTAAAATCTGTTATCAGCAGAAGTTAGGTATAAACAAAAATTATAATAAAAACGTTATAGGTAAATCACGTGAAAAACTATCCACACGAGATTTTAACGGAAAACAAGAATAACTACAACAAGTCGTGTTGTTAAAAACATTGACACTATCAATCACTTGTACCTCACGCCTCCATGACGGAACGTCCGTCATTCGTCGTTAGCGTCTTGAACAAGTCTTGAAATGTTAGTTTTGTAAAATTAGAACTGTCGCTCTATGACAAACATGGCTAATGTTATCTATATAATACTAGCTTTTACCCGCGGCTTCGCTCGCGTCACAAAATGATAAAAAGTAGCCTATGTGACATATACCAATACATACAGCGCCGTCTATACCAATACTTTTGTTTTCCCTCGGGAATATTAAAAGTACCCTATTATTTAGTCCAGACTTCTAACTTTACGTCTGCAAAAAATCAAAGCAATCGGTTTAGTAGTTACGGCGAGAAATCGGAACAAACAAACAAACTCACTTTCCGATTTATAATATTAGTAAGGATTGGTTGATAAGTTACAACTACGTACTATAAAAGTTCAAATAAACAAAATGCTTATGTCTTTAGTTTTAAGTGCTTTAATATTGGTTTTTATCGCAGTTTTTTAGTGTTACCATTATCATCTGAGGATAGAAAATTATATCGTTTAATTATTTTAAGTTTAAGAGTATTTTAACGGTTTAGTACAGTTTATTTGTTTTATTTTAGTAAGTGTGTACTAAATTCTGTATTCGATAGTAGGGCTAACGTATTTCTCTTAGAAAAAAAGCCTTATGCCAAAATATATTATGCAATCCCTATTGATACTGTCTACCATCAGTTAATCTAAAATAATTAATAATTATATCATTTCTCTCTTTCTTCCAGTACGTGATAGGAAGTGTGACATCATGGAATATACTAGCAGGGATCAGTGCCACAATACCTATCCTCTCGTTCCTGGGAATGCTACTCCTCCCAGAGACCCCCAACTACCTCCTCCAGCAAAACAAGAGGGAGAGAGCCGAAAGTTCCCTCACCAAATTGAGAGGCTCCACCTGCAATCTAGAAGATGAAATCCAAAAGATGATCGCGTTTAAAGAGAAGAATCATGTTGAACCGTAAGTTTTTGAAAATACTTAGGGTAAAGTTTGTTGCAGGTTTCACCGAAAATCGGATTAATAAAAAGAAAGAAAAAAACATTTATTCGACAGTAGGCACGCACACAGATAGATTATATAATATATTTAATATCGCACATAGATTTAATCGAAAAACACAATAGTGACAGGCTATATTTCAGAGAGCAGGCAGGTTAGTTGTAAATTGGGTACTTTCCTTGATCAAAAATAAATTATTTGGATTGTTCAATACAATAAAATATTAAAAATAATCACACTTTCATTAATTGATATTATGACTAACTTAATTTTAGTATTATTCCAGATTTTTTTTAAGAAATAAGTGTGTTGTATAACGGTAAAAAACGTGACGTCACAATACACAATCTCGTACAAAATTCATAGAAAACTGTCGTTTCTGACAGTTCGAAAAAATATTGAATTTAATTAGTTGGTTAGTACGAGTTAGTACGTAGTTTGTTTTTAATTAACATGAATTAGATGAACTTACAGCAACAGTCTATAAGTGCCCACTGCTGAGCAAAGCCTCTCCTCACACGGAGAAGGTTTGAGCATTAATCACCACGCTTGCTTATTGGGGGTTGGCGATTTCAGGTTTCCTAACAATGTTTTCCTTCACTATTTGTCAGTGAAGTCAGAGTCTTAGAAAGTACATATAACTGGGAAAAGGTCACTTTGGTACTTGTTTTTGGAAGATTTCAAATCTGCACCCTCAGGCATGAGAAGCGGGCGTTTTAACCTCCGGGCCGCCAAGACACACACACCAAGAGTTGTGCTTAGAATTTAGCAATGTAATCGCTCTTTACTACACGGGACGTGCGTCAAGATATAAATGCTTGTCAAGATATAAATTATATTATATTATTTACTTCAAAGTACCAGCGTAATAATAGTTCAGCTAAATATTTATTTATTTTGGTAAACATTAACTAAAATCGCGGGTTACTCACGTGAATATACTGAGAAAAGCTCTACTAGTTTCGAACCACAGAGGGTTCTTCCTCATGAGCAGCGTGTGCGGTCGCGGCGATGTCGCGTAGCTCTTATAAAAACATATTTTGATAAACATTTTGTGTCTAGTAGGTGCATCTTTGTTTTTCCAATTTAAGACGTAAATAGTATGTAATGATATGAATAAACAAACAGAGTATAATTTTAGTCATACAGTGAACTATTTGATACATTTGTTTAGCGATAATATAAATATATGTTTATTTTATTCATGCCTGCATGTACCTGACTATTTTTGGAAGTGCTAAGTAAATTTTAACATTATTTTTAGACAACTGACGATGTTACGCCAGAATGCAAATCTTCCACAATTTCTTTAATGCACATTGGAATTGCACTCGGAATAATTATTTACGACATTTTTGTAAATATGGATATTAGAAATCAGTTAAAAGAATATATCTTTTTATTATCGTACTTTCTTAACTGTATTCATCGGAAGCGGCAGATATGTTAACTAATACCTTTTCATTGAAGGCAGGACATATATCATTTTCCCTTCGTTAACGGCGTTCATATTAATATTTGCTGAACGTTAATAATTGCTATTAAGATTATAAATATTAATGAGATGAGATGTTTCCTTTTCAATATGAGTAAACAGAGTCACGATGCACATTTGTTTAGATAACATCGAGTCAGTAATGTTAGGGTTTTAGAATCCGTATCTACAATGTATGAATGAATAGAAACAGATGTCTTACTTCCTTATGGTCGAGGTATCGTGTTTGATTTCAGGGATCCTGCAAAATTTATTTAAATATTTTAATTAAATATATAACATTACAGTCATAAAACCAAGGCGTTATACATTTCAAATAACTATAAAAAGAAAAAAAAAAACAGAAAAGTCCTTAAATGACAAATTGCAAACTTGGTAGAAAAATATAAAACAAACAATAGGAACAGGTTTTAATACCAATAAGCAAAATATACAATATAAAATAATAAGACATCAGAATCTATAGAATTTTAGCTAGTGTTATAAGCTAATGGCTGACTTACCCTTGCGAAAAGTGTGTGTTGCATAAATCTACAAGTTGTAATGTATTATTGTTTAAATGTTACAGATTGAAAGGAACTCGTGAAATAGTGAAAGCCCTGTTGTCTCCGTCCACGTTGAAACCGTTTACGATCCTGGCGATCTACTTCTTCGTGTACCAATGGTGTGGTGTCAACACCATCACTTTCTATGCTATCGACGTCTTTGAAGTAAGTTAAAGTCAAAGTCAAGTCAAAGTCAAAATCAAAATCATTTATTTCAATTAGGCCAGAATGGCACTTTTGAACGTCAACGAAAATTAAAAGTGAAGCTATTTGCTCATTCCAAGGTGTAGATTCCTATGGAGAAGAACGAGCAAGAAATTCCATAGGTTACTCTTTTTCAATCAGGTTCACAATACAATTTACTAGTTACATAGTTTTGCTTTTTGGATTGTGCGAGAACAATGTAACACTAAAATCCAGTCCAAATCAATCTGATCACCAGCAACTACTAGAAATGTTCATAGAATATGTTTAACGCTGAACATAAGTCTACTTATATGACTTCCGAGTCGCGGAGAACCTAACGGGTTACCGGGGCTCCGGCTCGACGTGCAGGAGAAGGAACGGGTTGGTTTTTAGTCAGCAAGAGTCTGACACTCCCTCCCGCCTCACCCAGGCGGGAGCAGTCATTCGAAGAGGTTCCCCCCTTAAAAAAATATCGACCTCACTTACCTACTTTTGATTCGTACAACATTTTGGAAGTAATTTCTTGCACTTTAAAATTCATTAACATCTAATATTCTGAAATGAGTTGTGGAAACTCTTCGGTGTTTTTCGAGGTACCAACTTACCCTCTCTGAGGTTTTCGTAAGCTCACATTACAAATCAACTAAGTATACGTCTGCATTAGGTAGTTGCCTAAATTTTATTTTAATGTCCGTCTGGTAGATTGATTTAAAGCACTAGATACGTATTTTTCTTACTCAGCAAATGAAATACTTTCGACGATATAATAATTTGAATTATCTTGTGACGTCACAATACGTTACATTTTGTACCTTCCACTCCTAAACTTTACTCTATTTTATTTAAGTACCTATTGTAACTTTATACGAGAAAATAAAAATACGTGTCTAATAGTTTTTCATAATCTAACTGATGGACTAATTAGATTTTTAATTTTCATTCCCTGGAAACTACCCTATTACCTAATAGGGTAGTTACTCACCTAAAATGTGTATGTGATCACTGCCTGGCTAAGGGTTAATTTTTATAAATGATTTTTCCAGGCATCAGGTGCGATGGCGAACAAGAACATGCTGGCTATCTCCATGGGTATAGTGCGTGTGATATTCACTGTCATCGGGTGCATACTCTGCAGGAAATGTGGCAGAAGAATGCTCACCTTTGTGTCTGGTAAGTTTAGAATAGTATTAATGCTGTTTGAAATAAAATCCTAGGGTTTATATTTAAATTATCATCTTTTAAATCAAAGATTAGTCGTGGGTTATACTGAAATTATTGTATAAATTTGGTTGTGCAGAAAAAGATTTTGCATGTACAAAAAGAACTAAGTGAAATATGCAATGTTTTGTTTCTTAGTATTTAGTACAGTTGTTGGTATTTCTGCCTATAATAATAGCATTAACAACAAATTCATATCACCTTATGTTGTATTGTGTCTTCATATGTGGGTAGTAATTTACCGAGGAAAGTGGAAACTATAGTTTTTTCTTCTTCTCCTCTTATAATATCTTCTGATTCACTTCGTTGCGGAAACCAAGATAGTTACTCATGTCCCTGGGACGCGCCGGACTTCAGTGTTCTGGTGTTTTCATGGTTGTATCTACTGTAGATCCTGGCTTACAGGAGTTGCAGCGGTTTTGGGAGGTTGTAGTGGGCTTGTAAAAAAAGTAGGTAGCTCTTACTCATAATTACATCTTTCTACATTTCAGCGTTCGGCTGCGGCGTGACAATGATCATCTTGTCAGTATACATGTACTTCATCAAGTTCTGGAAGGACCACGACATGCCTCCCCAGTACTCCTGGGTGCCAGTCGCTAGCATCTTCCTCTTTGTCATCTTCTGCACGCTCGGATACCTGATCATACCCTGGGTTATGATTGGTGAAGTTTATCCTACACAGGTGAATATTTTAGACATTCTAACAAAATTTTGTTTTGTATTTAGGGCACCTTCACAATAGCGTTTGTCCAGTGTAGACATTCGATAAACGTATGCGCCGCGCAGACGCTGCGTCTACGCGGCTCGGCGCAGGCGTCAGTGCAGGGAGAAATGAATACGCAGCATTAGCAACACAATGCGCCTTTAATTTACCCTTGCACTGACTTTACTGTTAAGCAGATAATATTTTTTTATATATGTATAATTTGAACACATATTAAGGAAAGAGAATCAGTATCTTACTGTCTAAAAACCACACGTCTGGTCTATGCCGGGACCACGGTATATGGCTAACCTCACCCGCAACACCGGTCACTCATAACCGTGGTTTCGCAAGAATGGGAGTTATAATAGTTTTTATCGATTAACAGCAATGCTCTAGTGGTTATCTATTCGTAGTGTGATATATCTTTACTTAACTTTTTATTTGGCTATTAGAAATTGTAATTTGTATTTGCATTGTTTCCAGGTCCGTGGTATAGTGGGCGGTATGACGACGTGTGTGGCCCACATATCGGTGTTCTCCGTGGTGAAGACGTTCCCCTTCCTCAAGGGCTTGCTGAACGACTACGGAGTTTTCGGCCTGTATGGAACCATGTCACTACTCGGTAAGTGCTTCATATTTATAATTTTATAGTGTTTACCGCTGAAAAATTAAAAATTTTTGAACATCATGAATTTTGAGGCTTGAGGCACTCTTATGACCGTTTTTTACTTTTTGGTTTTCACCAACCTACAACGTTGCCCCACATTAGGATTATCTCCTGTGTCGTGGGTGCGTTCACAAACATACAAGTTCACATACACAATGACACCCAGACCCGAAACAACAATTTGTGGATCACACAAAGTGTTGTTCCGTGCGGGAATCGAGCCCACGACACGTTGCACGGCAGCCGGTTGCCCAGCCACCGCACCAACCGTGCAGTCGATTATATATAGATGTATAAGTGATACCTAAAGGTTAAGCGTTAGTTTAAGGGCTCCCTCATGCTAAATGACTCTTATTTAAGACATTGTTTAGAGATGGATGATGAAAACAGCCATTAGTCATTTTTGTCATAAATAAATTTTCACGGAAACAACGGGAAACGTCGTCATCTTTAAAACGAGAATTGTAAGTTAATTTTTTACATTCTCTTTTTACTTCTGTTGCAGCAATCATATTCTTCTACTTCTGCCTTCCTGAGACCAAGGGAAAAACTTTACAGGAGATAGAAGATTACTTCAGCGGCAGAACAAAGTCCTTGACGAGACGTAACACGCAGTGTGAAGGCGCGTGATCAAGTGATATAAGAGATTGGAACGTGATGTGATGAAGAATGAGGTCTGATTGTGACACATGTGATGTGAATCGAATGAGCTTATAATTTCAATAGTCATCTGTAAAGTTGCAGCACTAAAGTTGAATATTGGTTATATCAAAAAGCTGGCCCTTTTTGAATAAAACCGATTTTGCTATAGTTTTTGTGAGCTCGTCAATTTACACGTACTGTGCAATTGGTGCTATAGAATAATTTAATAACATAATGGAGCCATTTTGAAGTTACATACTATACCTATTAACACCAGCGGCTGTAGCCAAATGCCATTAGCGCTTGTCTACTTGTAGAATAGAAAACCAAATTATATGCAATTGACGTAAATTTTGACACTTGTCAGTGTCATCCCCATACGTGCTAAAGTGGCGTTTGGCTAAAGGCACTGGTATTGCATAGCTATAAAAAATAAGACATTACTAAGTGTCATTAATGACAATAGATGGCAACACCATAGCTTGTCCCACTTTGATGGAACCAAACGAAAAGTCAAATGGACAGTCATGACTGTCATAAATTAAATTTAAAAAGCAATGGAACAAGCTGTTCTGACGCCATTATAGAAAATACGGATAACTCATACAATAATCGTTTTGCCAAAAGTAAAAAAAAAACATTTTTGTAAGTATTTATGTGACACGTTTTGAACATCGCAGCAGACCAATACATTTGCTATGCGCTAAGTAATAGAGTTGAATATTGTCTGAATCCTAAAGATACTGAGATACAGAGTGCCTTTGATCGAGGCATTTTATTTACTTAACTGTTGTTTGTAATATTTGTTGACCTATGAGAAGATTTAAAACCTATTTTCACGTTTTTTATGCAAATATACTATTTTGAGTTTTCCACAATAATAATTTTGAAATCAATAAGTAAAAAGCCGTGTTGTTATAATTTCCAACATTATTCTAGTCCATAAATTTATCATTATTTATTTCATGTTGAACATCTTTTAAAAAAGTTAATGTATTATTGTTTTATTATTATCGTTTATTTATAAGATTTATTTTATTTTCAGCCATAATCGGCTTTTGCCCCGCAGTGGGACGATACGACGCATTAACTTCTTTATTTCTTTTTATGTTTTTAGAAAAATAAAAAAGTAAATTAACATTTAGATGGGACTCAACTATTACATGGGACTCATAACATAAATAGTGAAAAGTGGGTGTTACATTGTACAGTGGCATAATGTGCACCTCTGCCTACGCCTTCGGGGATAAATGGCGTGATGATATGTTATGTTATTAACGTGAAATAAGGTTTTAAAAATCGTGATACGAGTGTAATATGTTAATTGTAAGTATGTTGTATATTTTGTGAAAGTATTATACTGTAGTCTGTCTGTATGTAATAAGTATAGAATAAATATTTTTGTAGATATTGTATAAGTACGGATAAATGTGCCATTTTATTAATTTTTGTCATCACAAATGCCGAGTCAGAACTTAAAAAAAAAATGAAATTGTGATAATAAGACAACACTCATTATGAAAAAAACCCTGAAAAATGTACATATATTAATGTTGTATATTTTAATTGTAAAATTGACGTAATTTTTTTATTATAATATGATATTTATTAAAAATGTTGTCTTTCTATAACAATTTTATTATTACCAAAAAGAAAAACTAATTTACGTTACCATTTTTCGTTGTTGCAAACAATAATGCATTTTATTTATTAAATAATATAAAAATACCTAATAATTTATTATCTTAAATGAAATTAATAGTGAAGCATTTTGTGATAGTGTTTTAGAATAGTCCTAGAATAAATGTAAAAAATGTTGAACATATCTGATTTAATAAAAATAAATAAAAATAATTATTTCGTATTTTATTTCTTTTTTGTCCTTCGTAACGAGTTGTGATTTTCTAACACATAACATAACATCACGCCATTTTATCCCCGATGGGGTAGGCAGAGGTGCACATTTCGGCACTTAATACCACTGTACAATGTAACACCCACTTTTTTTAAAACTATTTATGTTATGTGTCCCGTGTAATAGGGAGTGAGCCTATTGCCATATACCGGGCACATTTCCAGACTCCTTGCTACAACTGAGATTTTTTTTAAAAACCCTGTAATACTTTGCCCGACCCGGGAATCGAACCCGAGACACTCTAGCCCGGCAGTCGCACTTGCGACCACTCGGCCAACGAGACAGTCTATGATTTTCAAACAGTTGTTGCAAAAAAGAGAAATTGTTTAAATCCCCTACTATGAGTTCGAGTTTGCTCTTCCGGTAATAGGCACAATATAATAGAACGAATTAATGATAATAGTGGATATATCAAAACATAAATAGTGAAAAGTGGGTGTTACATTATACAGTGGCATAATATGCACTTCTGCCTACTCCTACGGGGATAAAAGGCGTGATATTATGTTATATTATGATGTTATGTATGAAATAATGATAACTATGATACGCAGAATAAAATCAATAACAAACACATACTTAGTTCTTTCCATGAAATTGGAAAATAAATCTTGCAAAGACATGCTATCTCAAAAAGAGGACCTAGCTAAAAATAACGAAATTTTCACTTTCCCTTGGACATACCCCTCCCCACCTGTGAAAATAAATTTACTTATTGAGAAACAGGGTGAGAATGACCTTGGTAGAAAATGGACCGTTAAAACCTAACCTTAAACTTTGGAAACCAATAAAACCCCAATAATAACATTTTTTCTGGGGGCTTACGCTTGAATCCAATTTCGATCGACCGAACATTGGTATTGTAACATTTCGTCCTTGGGTTGCAACACTGGCGCTCATTGCATCCCTATTGTGTGAATTTTTAATGAACTAAATGGTATTGATTTTGGGTTTATATTCCGTACGCTGAATGCTATTTAACAGCTACGATAGGGGTTGTATAGTGTGGATATTATTGGATTGAATTTGCATTGACATTGAGATTGGTTTCAAGAGTAAGTTCCCTGACTCGGGAAACGCAATCGAAACCACAGTAGCTACAGTCGGTACAAATAGTGCCACGAGGCACTCAGTTAATTCATTTCTCGTTGAGCCTAGAACTGTTTCGAGAACCCGTAGTAAGTGTAAAATCATTATCGGAGCTGATAAAGGTCGTAAAACCTTCAATGAGTAATGTGTGTTAGTATAAGGAAGTCATGAAATTGGTTCTGTGGTGTTACTTATTTCTATTTCTATGTGGTTCATTACAAACACAGAATCCCGGTATGTTAACTAAAATTATTATAATAATTTATTTATAGCTAGGTATAGGTAGCTTAAAAATATAATGGAAACTGAAGATAGGTAATTTGTCTTGATTAAAATTTGGTCTTTTTCAAAATAATAATCTACAGTTAATTTTGTAGGTATAAAAATTAGCATTAGATAGATACCTACATAGTGGCTATAACTAGATATTATATTATAAGATCCTTCCTCCACGTGTTTGTACACTCACATGCAAATTAAGTTTTGCTTACACCCAAAAAATATATGTCCAGATGGAAAGAGCCGCAAATTGAGCGATGGCGTTGAATTCAATGAGGTTTCCCGGTCGGCACTTCTGAAGATCCTCGGGGACGTTGAAGAGAATATACACCACAAGCTACAGAAGAAGAAAAATGTGAAGCCAACCTTCACTGCGACCTTTGCCAACAACATCTACACAAAGCCACATATTTATCCCAAGTATAAAAAACAGTAAAATAATTAAGCTATTCATTATTATAATCAGCTTGATACACCTCCAGCTAGATGGAGCGACGACATCCGCAAGGTGGCTGGCAGTAGTTGGATGAGAAGAGCTGAAGACCGAGCTCAGTCGCGTGCCATTGGAGAGGCCTATGTCCAGCAGTGGACGAATACAGGCTGATGATGATGATGAATCAGCTTAAGGGTTTGCTGTAGGTCGTATTCCGATTTGTGGTTGACATTCATAGATTTATCTATTGTTAAGTTATTATCTAAAAACATCCAGGACAAAATGTATAAATAAACGGTATTAAATCAGGCCAAGATTATGAACAAGATTTTTTTTAATCTATAAAAATGGACTTTTTGTTTTTTAGCCTACTGTAGTGGACAAAGTTGTAGTTTTATTTATCTGCTACTTAATGAACCATTCAAAATGGAAAATCCGCCATGCAAACTCCTCCCTCCCTTCCTGCCTTCAGCCTTATGCTTCAGCCCCTTTCTCCTCTATCCATCCTACTTGTATATCAACTATTCCGTTTCATTCGACACCTTGATATTTGGTATGTCAAAAAACGTCAGAAAGACTTGAAGTTTATTTTATTTGCACACTTTTGTTATAGAAAATACTAAGAACATGATACTAAACTAAAAGTTGACAACAACTTTATATAATTTACAAAGTTACTCGAGATAAAGTGAATTCGTTAGTCATGATACATGGGAAAGCCCCAGTAAATATACTCGTATGGCATGGTGGTCATTGTATAATATAACTGAATAATATTCAACAGTTCAAAATATAATGCTTAAATCAAATAATAAACAAGTAACAAGAAGTGTTGCGAACAAAGAACTAAGATTAGACCCTGGGTTTTGGACGAAGACGTCACAAATTCAGTTGTTCTATGGAATTTGGGTGAATTTGTGCCACCTTGGTATTGGCCTGGCCTATGGATTACCGTCCGTTCAGGTACCTCAGCTGTTCGCAGCAGATTCCTTCATAAAAATCACGAGGAGTGAAGGTTCTTGGATCGGTGAGATGTTAATAGAATGCTTTTCTATAAGTACTGTTTGTTGGTGTTTTTCCCAACTTAAATAACCATAAAATAATCTTTGGGAAAGTCGCATTGTTCCTGCTTAAATGCCCTGAGTTCTTGCTCATCATTACTATACTGAAGTCTTAATGAATGATATGTTTCAGCCAGTGTGTTCACTCTATTCTCCCCTATTGGGTGTTTGATCAGCGGCTATGTCGCCGACTGGCTCGGTCGCCGAGTTATGATCATCGTCTGCCAAGTTCCTATATGTGCAGGATGGATGTACACTGGCTTTGCTAAAACTCCTAAACAAGTTATTATAGGTTATTTTTTATATTTATTAATTAATGTTACCTATATAGAGTATTCAGAATAATACTCAGCTTTATATTAACTGAACCCTTTGAAATTATAGGACGGGCGTTGACAGGATTTGGATGCGGTTTGGCCATGGGCCCGCCAAGGATATATTGCGCTGAAATGTCTTTACCTAATATGCGTGGAGTTGTTGGAGCGATTTCTACATTGGGTGTATCTATTGGTATAACTGTACAGGTATTCAATTATGCAATTAATTAACACAACACATTATAAAGTTAAATATTACAATAACTTGGGGAACCTTTATTAACTAGATTTTGCCAAATGTGAAATAAATGCGTTTCATCCTTCGACGAATACGAGGCCTGATGTTATGTTACTTTTTTTAGGCTGGACTTGGCAAATATCTGAATTGGACTGTGCTCTGCTACATTTGCTCTGGATACACAATTACTGTTTTCGTGTTATTCTTATTTTTACCTGAGACACCGTATTTTGTGCTGAAAACTAAAAATTTGGCTGAAGCTCGAGCCGCTTTAGCACATTTTAGGGCACGAGACTATGACCTTGATAAGGAAATGGAACAATTAAGAAAATTTAAGGAGGGCAACGACATTCGTAAGTAGGTTGTGAGTTGCATTTTTGTCACATTCCTATTTTATGATTTTCCTTTTTACCCAAGTGTAAGCGTATTTTTATTGTTAGATGACCAACTGCTGTGTAATGTGGTATGGTTTTGGTCATCGCTCGGAACCTTTGTTTGATCCTTAAAACTGCACGGTTCTGGGTGCGGCGCATTTGTGAAATATGTGAAAAGCATCCCCGAAAAAAAAGTACTTAACATTATTAAATTTGTCCTTGACATTATTTCCTCTTCTTTCTCTTTCCATTCTTTTCTCTTCTCTCTCTTCTCAATTCGAAGTCTTGTCAATAGTTATATACTCTTAAGTTTACTTATAATGTACATTTTTCAGAATAAGCGCCCGTGAGCGGCTGTCGCTGTTGTTCACCCGCTCAGCGTACAAACCCTTCACCGTAATTATAGTGTATATTTTTATCTCCCAGATTTGTGGTACATCTGGAGTTATGATATGGGCTGTGGAAATGTTGACGGTAAGATCCAATTCCATTTTAAGTGTGGGAGAGCCATGCTTCGGCACGAATGGGCCGGCTCGACCGTAGTGCTACCACAAAAAACCGACGTGAAGCAACGCTTGCGTTGTGTTTCGTCATGTCAGTGAGGTTACCGGAGGCCCAATTACCCTCCCCTTCCCCAATCTCCCCAATTCCTGAATCCCCAACGATCCTCAAACTCCTATTCCCCAAAAGGCCGGTAACGCACTTGTAACGCCTCTGGTGTTTCAGGTGACCATGGGCGACGTCGATTGCTTACCGTCAGGTGATCCGTCTGCTCGTTTACCGGCTTATGCCATAAAAAAAATCCAGTCTTGGAAAATGACGATACAGCGTGCTAGTAAAACTTTAGTTTTGTTTGTTGTAAAATAAAGATAGTGGTAAATCAAGATTGTATACGGTCACCGCTATTAGTAAAAACGATATTTGGTCAAAATTTTGGTTTTAGGTAGCGAAGTCCTCAGTCGACGTGAATACTGGCAATTTTCTAATGACCCTGACTAGATTGGTCGTAAACGTTCTCACTTCAATACTTCTTTTCAAAGTCGGGAGAAGGCCTCTGGCGCATACATCAGGTAATTGTGAAACAAATGTAGTAAGTGTTATATTTCTACATACCTAATGTATGTAGTATTAGTACATATACATACATACGGCATGAATGGGCCGGCTCGACCGGAGTGATACCACGGCCTCACAGAAGACCGACGTGAAACAACAATGTGTTGTGTTTCGTCGTATGAGTGAGGTTATCGGATGCCCAATTACACCCCCCCCCCCATCCCTTTCCTCAATCCCTGAATTCCCAACATTCCTCAAATTCGTAATTCCAAAAGGCCGGTAACGCACTTGTAACGCCTATGGTGTTCCAGGTGTCCATGGGCGACACCATAAAAAAATGTATGTTGTATTAATATCTGGGTAAGACTCATTTAAATATGATTCGATTGAAGGCCATTGCAATGAGTAACCTTACTTAATATAACCTTACGAATTGAGAAGTCTTTTCTTTAGGAAGACATAGAATTTAAAGGACTATCTTATTCTCATGTAATAGTAAACCAAATAGTTTTGTCGACCAAATTTATATATTAAGGACTAAGTTTTAATTTTTAGAGCCACATTATAATTTCAACATTAATATTACAGCTGTAGGAGTTGCAGTGGTCAGTATGGTAATTGCTATTTATACATCGAATTATAAGGAGCCAAGCTTGCCTCCGCTAATATTGTTCATGAGCTACATGGCTTTTGCTAGCGTCGGATACTATGTGCTACCGTTTCTTATGGCTTCTGAAATATATCCTCTACAAGTGAGTTTGTTTCTACATTCAAATGATATAATATCATCGTTAATCATAATCATATCAGCCATAAGATGTCCACTGCTAAACATAGGCCTCCTCCGATGACTTCCAATCATGCCGGTTGGAAGCGTCCAGCATCCAGCAGCTCCTTTTATGTTATAACATAAAAGGAGCTGCTGGATGCTGGACGCTTCCTTTAAACGAGCCATTAACGATCTCAGAAACGTCTCCTACGATTTTCTTGGAATTTTGTCTTTATGAGAATTTTGGGTGCGATGAATCGTTTTAAACGAGAAAGGTCGTTTATTAAAAATATAACGCCAAGCAAAGCTCGGTCATCCAGGTACTTATTGGTTTAAATAATGCAGGTTCGAGGAATTCTTGCTGGTATAACAGTATTTATCACCGGTCTCTTAATATCTGGCAGCATCAAAGTAACCCCCACCTTGCTGGATAGTCTTGGTCTTACTTATACAATGGTGATCTTTGGAATCAGTTCCTTATTGGGTAAGCCGCACATTATCATCAAATCGTGTTTCTTTAATGTCATTTTTGTACGAGTTTCTTAAAGTTCGCTTGAGTGAAAAATGAACAATTTTTTCAGTTTATAACCTCATAGATACATTACAATTTTTTCGATTGAAATAGTTGATAAAGATGCTAATATAGAATTCTGAAATACGGTTAGCAGGCTGGTGTTTAATGAAAGACGATAGACATTTTTGGATATGCAGTAGTAAATTGGTATTCAACATCCAATCCTTAATTCCAGGTGTCGTCTACTTATATTTCGTTTTACCTGAAACGAAAGGTTTAACGTTACAGGAAATTGAAGAATATTATAACAAACGCCGCCCGACATTGGTTTCTCAGAGACAATTATAAACCTAAGAAGACCAGCTTAAAGCAAAACAGAAATAAAATTTGTCGAAAGAAGAATCAATTTAGATGTACAAACAAGTTAAACGAATGTCGGCCTAATAAGAATGAGATTTGAAACCTAAAACGTAATATAGAACTTAAGCTTGTCATCGACCTTGAAGATAATAGTACACGAATTTCCAGAAACAAGTGCAGATTCTGATTTGTTAGACTATTCTATAAGATATCAATTCGAACTCTCGAAGTGAGCTTGATCACATTCTCGCCCACCATTGCTCGAGTTTATTCTCACAACCAATGAAATGGAGGACCGCGATCGAGCTCACTTCGAGAGTTCGTATTCTCATCTTACAAAATAGCCTAGTTGAAGAGTCATAAACGTCCGAAAGGCAGTTAAAAAGGAACGATATGAAAAGTTCAGCTTTATAGACCCAATAAACTAACAAATGGTCACATCACAGTAACTAGGAAGAATTAATAAACTAATTGTACTAAAAAGCCCGATGAGGCAGCTCTTTGTAACAAAAAACACACACAGAAAGACAATATTACTAATGTTACTGAAACAAGTAATAGAGTTAAAGAACATTTTTATAGTTTATATTGATACAGCAGAAGTACAAAAGATAAAGAAGAGAAATAAAGGAGAGAGAGAAAATTTTACGTACCTACCTGTCTACAGTAAACAACATTAAAACTGAAGGACGCTTAACAAACAAGAAAGATGTAGAGGTTTTTCCAACACGATGGATATGCTATTTGCTACCACCAGATATAATATCTTTATTGTTATAAGAATTTTATTAGACGTTGTTTATTCTTCGTTTATTTGCATCGTTAAATTATGAATATGTGGTTAATCGTTCTCAGGATAACCCATAGTGTTTAGGTTATCATGTTCTTTATACCTTTTTTCACCGTTTTTGGTTCTTCCAAGTAATTTAAATCTTATGTATGTAATGCTAAATGAATATTTGCTTATGTAGTGGGAGAGCCATGCTTCGGCATGAATGGGCCGGCGCAACCGGAGTGATACCACGGCTGTTATATATCTATGATGTAATGGACTACTTTAGATGTAAACTTTTTATAGACAATTTTGATGCTGTAAAGGTTGTACTGAAGGACGAAGGACGTTGAAAAATAGGTTTAGTCTTTAACGAAAAATGTCAGAACGATTTGACATTTTGATATTTTTACAAACGTAAAGAAATTATGATTTCTGATGAAAGAGATAATGAACTAGGAGTCGATTTATTCCTTCTTAGCAAGAGCGTGAGTTGTGTTGGGCGACAAATTATAAGTAAAAACCTCCACCAGATTATTTTTTAAATTACAATTACAACAACAACTTGAAATAAATGCTCAAAGAAAATGAAGACTGTTCCAAATAAAAATATAAAATTAGATCCTGGATTTTGGACAAAGACGTCACAAATCCAATTATTCTATGGACTTTGGGTGAATTTGTGTCACCTTGGTATTGGTCTGGCTTTTGCATTGCCGTCCGTTCAGGTACCGCAGCTGTCAGCTGGAGATTCCTTCATAAAAGTCACGAGAAGTGAGGCTTCTTGGATAGGTAAGATATAGTTACTCAAGCTTTGTCTTTGTGTTACGTACGATACGTTAGTATTACCCACTTAAAATTCGCATTATGACTTATTTGGTTTCATATACTTTCCATTTTCTTGGATAATTCACCAAGATATAAATAGGTACATAGACACTAGAATAAGTGCCAGACTATTTAATATACATCCTCAATATTTAGTATACTCCCCAATATTTAGTATGTAGTATACTCCCCTCTTAAACTTAACCGAACAGAAACTTAACGTTAGAAAACTCCTGAAACTTATCAGGAGTTTTCAGGTAACCTGAAAACTCATTTATTTTAAACAAATTAGCCCTGACGAGGTTTCGAATTCTCTTTCATATGAATTCATTCCACTCTTACGGAGCTGATAACATGTAGCGAGAGTGCAATAGCTAACAAAACAAACCGTCGCTAGATCATTCCTGTTGCATTATAGTACCTATTTTTGCTTTTCCCAATCCCTGTTTGTACTTGTCATAACATTTTCAGCCAGTGTCTTCACTCTATTCTCCCCTGTTGGGTGTTTGATCAGTGGCTATGTGACCGACTGGCTCGGTCGCCGAGTTATGATCATCATGTGCCAAGCCCCTATATGCATCGGATGGTTGTGCACTGGCTTCGCTAAAAGTACCAAACAAGTTATTATCGGTAAGTATATACTTATTGATGAGTTTCATATTTATGGAGAAACTGGAGTAATATTATACGTAGTTCAGGTTGTAAACAGTGATAGTTTCCAATATTAAAAATCGATAACCAAATATTTTAAAATTATAGGAAGGGCTATAACAGGAATTGGAAGCGGCATGGCTATGACACCGCCGAGAATATTCGCCTCTGAGATATCCTTACCTAATATGCGTGGAGTTATTGGGTCCTTTTCTACATTGGCCATTTCCATCGGTATAAGTATACAGGTATTTATGTATACTGTCTCTATAAATAGTAGCTATAATGGCAGAGTTCTATAATAGTTTTTAGTTTTATCACTAACTTATTGACCCTTTACTCTACCTGAACCGTTGTGTAAGATCCGATTAAGAGTTTACAATACATTTGACAAAAATCGGGCAGCAGCGCTTTTTGAGAAATCAAATCCTTTAAGCGTGTTGAGCATATGGCTATGGAGATTCAGGAATAACAGAGGTAGACCAGAGGAGGATTTATTATCTCAAAAATATAAGTTAGGCTGTTCTGATCAATGTTTATGCTCTTTTTTAGGCTGGACTGGGCCAATTTCTAACTTGGCCTATCATCTGTTACATCTGCAGTATCTACACTATTGCTAACTTCCTGTCTTTCTTCTTTTTGCCCGAAACACCGTATTTCATGTTGAAAACTAAAAATGTAGCCGCAGCTCGAGTTGCTCTCAAACATTTTAGGGCTCGGGACTACAACTTTGATAAGGAAATGGAACAAATAAAGGAATATAAGGAGGATATGGATATTCGTACGTATGTTGTACTTTCATCGCAATTTTATAAAATAAAGAGTCACATTCTTGCTTTTGACTACAAATCTATGAAAATATGATTCTTTGGTAATAGCTATAATATATGTATCTTACCTCTTATACATTATACTGACGAACTTAAGTTTTTATAAAACTAACTATGTGTATTACATATATTTCAGACTAAGCGCTCGTAAGCGTCTAGCACTGTTGTTCACACGTTCGTCGTGCAAACCCTTCACTCTAATTGTGGTGTTTTTATTTTTCACCCAGATCACAGGCACTTCTAGTGTCATGATATGGGCGGTGGAAATGTTGACGGTAATACATTTATGTCTCGTTGGTTAGTTATTTGCAAATGAGAAAGAAATGTTATGTGGAATTATTGAGATATGGAAGCCAAATAAAATGAACGATATTATTTCTTTCGTAAATGAGCTAAAAAATGAATGAAACACAGCACATCTTTTAGAATCTTCTAGCTGATTTCAGCTATGTTGTACTCGCATTTGGGAACAAGCAAGTCTTTAAGGATGATGGGGTTTTAGGCCATGAAAGTGAAACATTTTTCTGAACCAAAGCGGGCAAGAACGATGACGAATGTCCAGAGTCGCGAGGAGGCAATATGTGTATGCAAATAACGAGTTGTCGTTTGATGTAGAAGACAAAAGGGAAAGCCTTTGATTAATAGTTGACATCGGGTGATACTAATGATGAAGTCCGGTTGATAACAAAATAGGTACACAGCAAAACTTCCTAAGTACACCTGCCTATTAAAATTTTGTTTTAGGAATCGAATTCGTCAGTTGATGCGCATACTGGTAATTTTCTAATGAGCCTCACTAGATTGATCGGAATTCTTCTCACTTCAATACTACTTTTCAGAGTTGGGAGAAGACCTTTGGCACTGGTATCAGGTATAAAAACGTTATTATTTAGCATCCTCGGTTAGAATAGATTAATTGACTGCACGGTTGTTGCTATGGCTGGGCCACCGGCTTCCGCGCGTGTAGCGGTTAGATTCCCAAACGGCGCAATTTTTTGTGTGATCCACAAATTGTTGTTTCTGGAAAAACTCACCCACGATACAGGAGAAAATCCTAGTGTAGGGCAACATTTTTATTTAAAAATGTGTACATCAAATTCTTAAGAAATAATTGGCTGTTCGTTTTTAATATCTTTGGTTCGACAAGTAAAAGAACATACCTTATTACTTTTCAGCTTTAGGAGTTGCAGCAACCTGTTTAGCTATAGCAACGTATATATCTACTTATACAGAGCCTAGCTTGGTTCCACAAATATTGTTCATGGCTTACATGGCTTTTGCTAGTGTCGGATACTTCACCTTACCTTTTCTTATGGCTTCTGAAGTATATCCTTTACAGGTAAGTTTATTTCTTAATTTATGTCACATAGTAAGCAATTGTCGGTGACAAGTTGTCATGGTGGCCCGGAGGTTGAAGACGCCCACTTCTCATGCACAAGGGGGCCGGTTCGAAAACTACCAACGGCAAGGACCAATATGAGTTTTCCGAGTTATATGTACTTTCTAAGATTATTTAGATACCACTAACCAATGCTGAAGGAAAACATCGTGAGGAAACCTGGGCTTATATTCTCTAATTATAAGTTTGAAATCGCCAACCCACATTGAGCAAACGTGGTGATTAATGCTCAAACCTTCTTTACAAAAGTATTAAAAATCTGCTTTTGAGTTGGGAAGAGCGTTATTCTCCGTTGTTGTAAAATATTTTTGGTTTGCTTAAATAAAACTTATCACCCAAAATGGGTATTGATACATCTCCTCGCTTGACTTAAGTCTATCATCTTACATAATACATGGACTGAAGCAAAGTTTAAAAATTTCAGAATCGGGGTCTACTTGGTGGTATGACAACAACGTTTGCCAGTCTTTTAATATTTGGTAGCCTCAAAATGACTCCCTCTATGATGGATAATATCGGCCTTACCAATACGATGTTGATTTTTGGCATCGCCTCCTTACTGGGTAAGTGGTCCTTTGTCATCAGATATGTGTTTATGCTATTCTGATATTGTAAGAGAATATTACACTTATTATCTATTTTAACATATATTTAGGAATTGAAGTTTAATGTTCTACTTAGTAAAATAGGTTAATGTTTAATATTTAACTCTAATGGCTTTAAAATTTTAATACTAACATAAACACTTAAAAATCTGTGTATATTATAACATCTGGGTTTTACTTACAGGCGTTATATTCATATATATCTTTTTGCCGGAAACAAAGAATTTGACGTTGCAGGAAATTGAAGAGTATTATAGCGATCTACGACCAACGTTGGTTTCTCAGAGAACAAACCTTTCCAACCTTGAATCGAAAAGTAGTACCTCAAATAAGATAAAAGATGTTTCGAAGAAAACTATAGCAGCAACTTCTGCTGATGTGATAAATTTAGCGAATTCTATTTTCAAAAACAAAAAAGCCAGTTCAGTACTCAACCTAAATGCTGATAATAAAAAAGTACCAAGACCAAGTGCCGATAGCGTTCTCCTTCAAAAAATTGTTAAACTCGCAAAAACAATTAAAAGTCGTAGAAAGAAAGGTTCTAAAGAAAATATTGAAGAACTGAAAAATAAGGAAGGACCCGACCATATCACTGGGAAAGGGAAACTGGAAGGTATTACAGATACATCAGATAAGCCAGGGACGAGTAGAAAATTATCAAGGACATCAAGCAAATTTAACATTTTGGAGCAACCAGAGCAACCAGCAGAAGTTGTACGTAAAAAAACGAAAAAACAAAGCGATGAAAGTATTAAAAGTACGACTAGTAAGAAAAGTAACCGAGATAAATATGATAGGAGCGACAGCGACTAGGATAGACACGGAATAAAACAAAATTGGGCAATGAACACCTGCAGCGGTTTTATGATATTTTTAAGGAGATGGGTGTTAGTAGATTGACATTAGACAATTATGGAATATTGCAAGATTTATGCACTTACATCATTTCATCTCCTAGCGAAAAAAACATATGAGATCTATCGACAGGTAATAAACAAGTAGAATCTAAGTAAGTTTTGCTACAAATATGTAGCTATATTAAATCTTTAAATATCCATTGTCTAAGTTTTTTGGTGTATGTACATTTGTGTTTGGTGTAAATATTTTTAATCAGATTTATTTATATGATTGTGCCTGAATGTATGAATGTTAAGTTACAAGCAATACAAATTTTACAAAAAAGTTGGAAGGCTAAATAAAATATGCATTATTTTTGAAAAAAACTCATAATATAGTCATACATAATAGTTTTATTTTCCTCAGAATATACGTGGTACATTTTATAAATTATAATAATATAGATTAAAATATTTTACTTAATATTTCATGGGACGTTAGCAATAGCTACGAGAACATTCTCGAAAATGACGATTCCTTTTTTGTACATATTTACATGTATTCTTTCGTTGTGGGCATGTAGTAGCATGGGAGTCTCCAAAATTGGGGAGAAGTTGATGGCTGGAATACCCTGACGACGCACGTGACGCGCGTCTGTTGCACCCGGGCATATCACGCACTTTATCGTATATCCCCTAAAATAAAATAACATTATAATGCACCAAGTCTTTAGGTGTCACCTGTTTGAGGAATATTTTCATCCATGACGTCGATGTTTTCTTAATATATTACCTACCAATTGTTTCTACGTCAATTTTATCAACTTTCAAAAAAAGCGAATTAATATTATTATTATCAAGCATACAATCATATTCTTAAAGGCGAAATACTACTTACATGTCCGCCACCACTTTTTTCATAACATCCCAGAAAGGGACGCTGCCGTCTATTTTTGTATTTTTAACTTGTGGGTTTTTGACCACGTATTCGAAAGTTACCCCCTCACCGGCTTCTTTGCACCATCTTGATATCTGTACAAATATACGATAAAAATGACGACGACTTAATATTTATTTTAGAATAGCTAAGGTAGTTATTTTCAAAAAGCATGGCCCATTGATGGACATTGTTGGGAGAACATAGACCATGTTCTGTAGACATCTTGTGGCTGAAGTAATGAATTACAGAATTACTATAGGACTTATTGTTACACAAACATATATTTTACAAGCTACTTACCATATCATCAAATTCATCATGATCAACGTCAGGAGCTATTCTGATATCGAATGACACTGTTAAGTTTTCAGGGAGTACATTTATCTGGACACCGCCCTGAAACAAGAAATGTTAATTTGTATGAACCTACAAGATAAAAGACTAAAGCCTTGGATACACTAGGATACAAATGTCCTGCGACACGTATCACAAGCAACATTGCTGGATTTCGCTCGATATGTCTGGCGACATACCGCGACACAGGTTTCCTCCTCGCGCGTTGTTGCCATATAAATGTCAGACGAAGTCGGGCGAGTTCACTTGGCATGTCGTGGTACATTTGTCCCTCAGTGTATCCTTGGCTTAATGACAAATGTAGGTACGTCAGTAATGAATAGCGATGTTTCTCGTCCATTTTTGTGCATTTATAACTTCAAGTTAAGGACCATAACCAAACATTTATGTTTAGAAGGGTTGGAACAACGAGCTCATGGATTTTTTGAGTCGTTCTAGTGAAATTAATATAACTTACTGATAGTTGTGTCAAGTTGATTGTGGTAATGTCTCCGACCCAAGTGCCGCTGTCCACCTTGCTCTTCTCCTCAGCACGAAGCGTCATGAACTTGTTTATGATGTAATGCATCTGAAAACAAGAACGTAAAAATTACAATTAAGAAGGACTTCAGAGAAATTTACTAAAACTACAATTAATTTATAGAACTGAAGAGTTTGATTGCTTGAACGCACTAGTCTCCGGAATTACTAGTTCAAATTAAATAATTATTTTTGTGGTGGAGTCCATTTACCAAGGAAGGTTATAGGCTCAAGTTGCGGGACAATACTTACTTCACGCTTCGATTAATAGAAGCTGAGTTGCGGGTGAAATGCGCGGAAATTGTTAGTTGTAACTATAATCAGGATGATGATAGGGTATGAAAATTAAAAATCTAATTAGTCCGTAAGTTAGGTAATGAAAAAATATTAGACACGTATTTTTTTATTTTGTCGTAAAACAATACTTGTCGTAAAACAATACTTAGATAAAACGAATCGAGGTTTAGGAGTCCCGCTAAAACGTCATTTCTACGTATAAAATGTACATAGAAGTGACGTCACGTGCCATTTCAAATCAATATATCGTCAAAAGTATTCGTTTTTGTTAGAAAATAAAAAATACTCTAGCATCTACTCTATTATGTGCTCTCGTTGGTAACTGGGCAAGTCTTCTATAAGTGTTCAGTACAGTCCTAACCTCATTTACCTGTTCCTTCCGTCAGTGCATTCACTATTCACATACCATACAGGTATCGTCAAAGAATCGGAATATTGCAATCCACTGACCTTTTCACCAGCAGTGTCGGAGCTGAGCAGAGATCCATGTCCGGGGTCACCGCGACACTTCACTACGATCTCTGTAAGACAATAGAATGTGGGAACCACTGACATCTATTAGCAAAAAATTGACGAAACAAGCTTTCAAGTAAAAAATTGGTAATTCAACTTCGCCCGCCTATAACATTCTGGGTCTAATGGGTATAATAGTCTGGGTCAGGATGACTGGACCGAGAGAGATTTTGGAAGTTTAAGCATTACCAAGTTTTAGTACCCGTTTGGTACTATTTGGTACCAGACATCAAATAACTGGTACCTCGTTAAAGAGGGAAAACTATTACGAGGACAGTGGCCAATTATTTCATGTCTGATACCAAGTAGGGACTGAAACTTAGTAATGCGCAAACTTCAAAAATGCCTCTTGGACTAGTCATCTTGACCAAGACGATTAACGAGGTAAAACGTATTACTCAGATGTATCTAAGTTTCTCAAAAGTGAAAGTATTTTCAAGGTCCATTTGTCTTGATTTTAAAGTTCTTTGTCCTATAAGACCCATACGGACTGATATACTGTTAATAAATGTTATATAGTTATGGTCCTAGTTTTGCTACGTACTAAGTTATATAAACTAGATCTGTGTGTTATGCAAAAAAACTAGTCTTTTAATTGCCTCTTTTCTCACATAAACGCGACAATTAGTTGAGGCGAAGTTACAAAACATATCATACAAAGAATGAAGTTTCACAAACAGGAACTGAATCTAGGGTTTATGTGCTTACTACATAGATATTATCTGAAGTAATTATGTATTTCACACACTCGGGTCAACATAATATTGTCAGACAGAGACGCTGATTGGTATCTAGGAAAAGAACCAAGGCGACATAATGTTGTGTAAAATTCTTCTTTAATAGTGAAACAAGTGAAACAAGTGAATTTATTTCTGCAAATAGGCTACAAGGCAGCACTTTTACACGTCAATTTTATCAAGCGAACGATGAGGTCGACATTTCCTAACTGACTACTCTGAGAAGAAATGCCGAAACAAACTCAGAGGTCTGTCTCTTTTAATTGTGTTGGATTGTTTAAAAGAAGGAACAGATTTGATCTAGGTTTACATTTATTTTTTCTAAATTAGAATCTAGGTCAAAGATTTGAGTTAATTAAGTTAGACTAGAACATAAAAAAGATTTTATTTTGACCTCTTTAAATAACTTTTTACTAAAGAGAAAAACGATCTTCTTCTGATAAATAACGATATAAACTTACGTCTTGAAGTCCTTTCTCCATAAAACGCCAAAATTTCTGTTGAACTCAAGCTGGGAGCGCTCTCATCTAATGCGAAACCAATGTTGAGTTTCTTAAACTCTGGAGATTCTGAGAAGACCCGCATCCCGTCTACGCTACCAGTTTCCTCATCTATAAGAAAATAGGTATTTATTATTCACACATCTCACAATAGAAATCACATTGTGATCTCATAGGTGTGATATATAGGTAGGTGTGACCATAAGTTAAACAGAAGGCTTAGAACGAATCGAAGCGTCCGGCATTCTGATTGGTTAGATCATTAGAACCGGCCAATCAGATTACTATATTTATTACTTACGGCCGGATTACTTATTTATTACGGCCGGATTACTTTAAACGTAAAATAAACTCGCACTAAGGCCTCAGATATCTCGAGTAAGAATACTTTAAGAAGAAACACGGAATGATGAAGGGTTTTCTAGACAAACATACTTTTTAATTAGGCACAGCATTTTTAAGATTAGATTTTTAAGATTGATAGATTTATATAAAGCGAAAGTTTAAACGAATTAGAACTCTCAAAGACTGAATGGAAGACTGACATAGCGATGTTCCTAAATTAATTAGACTCCTGTTGACATAGTAATAGCAATTATGAGGATCTCCGTAACGATTGAGGAGCCACATCAGAACTTTAAAATCGGATCTCGTCATTATTTAGCAGCAGTTTAGCTTATTTTGCTGCACGAATTATAGATTTAGCAGGAAAATATATCACTAGTTATTTTAATGCAAACATGGCTCCTCAATCTAAACGTTTGAATTGAGGAGCCATCTAGAACTCTATGAATATATTTTATGAAAATGTTGTACCATTTAATAGTAATTTTGCACATTATCATATAAAAATTTGGCTTCTGTAGTATAGACATAGTAATAGCAATTATGAGGTACTAAGAACGATTGACTCAGTTACAGCTACAAAGGTTACTTCAAGAGCTATAGAATATTTAAATATTTAAAAAGCATGGCACAAGTATAAAAAATAAATAAAGAGAAAATATCGTGTTTATAAATTAGAATTTAAATCTCACTAACCAGGCACAAAGGACACATGAACAGTTCTCTTCAGCCTGACTCCAGCAGTTTTAAGTCTCCTGACAGCTTCTAGATGCATCATGCCTATACCCTTCATGTCCAGGGTACCCCTTCCGTAGATATACCCATCTTCAGTCACAACAGCTTCGAATGGGGGGTAGGTCCAATGTTCCTTGAAAATTTTAGTAAGTATAATAAGTGCTAATCATTAAAATAAAATATAATATACTTTTTTTTTGCGTCCCAGTGTTGATTGCGGTGACTACGGGACTCGTTTTTGCAAAAGGGGACAGTCCCATTCATCGAGAGAGAGTTGAGACGTCTGGTCATGTTAGTTATACCTACTTCCCTACTTGTTATATTGAATAGTGACCATAACAACTCTAAAAGCAGAAATGTTATTATGAATTTACGTAAATATGAACTTATCTAAACAAATTACTTAGTAGGTTGTAAAACTATTAATTTTAATATATCCTATTGAAGGCCGTGTGTACTTCGTTATCAGCTTGGTTTACGAGGTAGCAATATTAGGATTACTTTGTCTAGATAAACGTTTCAATGTTTATCTTAAATCTCTATACATATTATGTAAAGGTATTTGTAAAATACATTCGTTTCGTGATGTCGTATAATTGGTTATTAGTTTCTACATATGTAGATATTACTTAGGTTTTTTTATGGAATAAGCCGGTAAACGAGCAGACGGATCACTTGGTGGTTAGTAATCGGCATCGCCCATGGACACGTGCAAGAACGAATATTAAGTACTGGTATTTGGAAGACCAAATCAGCACACGTTCAGTGCCACCGACGCGCCGGGAGAGTCCACGTAGCGCCGTAGATTCGCCCGGCGAGTTCAACGTAAAATGTAGGCGACATTCAAATAATCATCGTGAAAATCGTAGTGGTAATGAAAGTGTATTAGGATCATATCCTACTACATTGGACTTGCAAAACAACTAGACAAAAATACTCGTTAATAACATGTAAGTACACTTTAGAAAATGAAATACGTATAGTTATAATGATATGTTTAATAATTTTTTTAATGTTGAAGGTAAGAAACAAAAACACCTCGAAAGATTTTTTTTAAACGCTGGATTTTCTCCTGTGTCTTGGGTGCGTTTACAAACATACAAGTTCACATACACATCACACCCAGACCCGGAACAACAATTTGTGGATCACACAAAGACTTGCTTCGGCCCACAACACGTTGCACGGCAGCCGGTTGCCCAGCCACCGCACTAACCGTGTTGTCATTCTGATTCAGTATTACGTTTAGAATAATAAACTCACTTCATAAACAGGAACAACATCCATGTGCGAGTTCATAAGTATGGAAGGTAATTCTGGTTGCACCCCCTCCCATGTTATAACTACCACCGGCTTTTTTGGTACCAACTCATACACAATGACGGGCAAATCGAATTCATTCGCTTGTTTCTTCAGGAATTTCACACAGTCGTCTATAAAAACAAGAAAAAAGAAATATTAATTTTCAGTTAATAAATAGAGTTAATATATAAAACAAAGAGTAATTAAATTAGATGATTTAGATAAAGTAAATTACTTAAAACACAAACAAAAAGCAATTGCGTCAAACGGGTCTCACTATAGAAAAAATAAATACAAATTGTATATCAGAAACAACTTGCATCAGAAATTATTATGAAAATTTTAGATTTATAATATATTAATAGCTCAAAATCGTACTTCCTACTCCGACTAACATTATAAATGCGAAGTTTATGACGACGTATGTGTGTGTGTATGTGTTTGTTACTCTTTCACACAAAAGCTAGTTACTGAAGGGATGTAGATGATGTTTGAAGTGGGGGTAGATTATGGTTTACTAGATACTCTTAAGTTTTCAACTTATTGCACCGACCACGCTCTCACTGAATTATGACGACGTATGTGTGTGTGTATGTGTTTGTTACTCTTTCACACAAAAGCTAGTTACTGAAGGGATGTAGATGATGTTTGAAGTGGGGGTAGATTATGGTCTACTAGATACTCTTAACTTTTCAACTTATTGCACCGACCACGCTCTCACTGAATCACCTAAAGGTTGGCTAGTAAGAATGCCCATGGCATTAAGCCCGCATATGTACTCTTGTTGCATAAAGTTAAATAAATAAAAAAAATAAACAGACTGTCTAAACAGAAGGCCCACGACGTTTTTTTAATATGGCGCGCGACACACGTTTTAATCTGAACAGCTTCATCTTCTGTGTAACAACAATAATAAAATTCAGTTTATGATTTGTCTACATGTTTTGTCTGTGAGTAAAGAATACAATGTTAAATGTCATTATACCTACAACTGAAAACATTTTTCTGGCCTTCCACCTTTTGTAAGAAATTTAATTAGCCCGCCAGGGTATATAGTTTGGACAGCATTTATTTCATCATCAGCCTATAGGTATCTATTCCATTAGGTACTGAAAACCGCCTCTTCTCAAACTGATTAAAATTATACTATAGGTACACTCTAATCGTACAGAACAACGAAGTGAAATTAAGTACTGATCTAATGAGACTTGGGTGACATGAACATGGAATAAATAAATACATGGATTTGGGCACTACGATAACAAAAACAAAACAAATCTCTAACGTCATAAATGTACATTGTACACATGTTATTATGTGATTAGTTTATTTATACACACACACATACAATAATAGTAAATTAATTTTATCTCACCATAATCAATGTCAGGATGAACGCTTGGAATTTTTACATATTCCCTGAATCTCTGGATAACCTCATCGTTGTCCCATTTCGAACACATTTCCCGCGGTATTATTTTTTTTTGTTTTTCAAACGTAGAACGCGTGTTTCGTTCTCTATGTCAAACGCGACTAAGCGAGTTTGTATTATGTTCTATGTTATCTATGAATAATTTGTCTCCCGCCAAGTTTGATTAGCACTTAAGTATTTTATCTCGACAGTAAGAAGTGAGTTTGAATTGAGATATCATTGAAGATGAGATTTATCATATTTGTTGTTTAGTTAAATAGTTAACGTAAGGCGTACACACGTTTACACAGACAGTTTCCTTAGTAAAGTGTACAATTTTATTAATATTTTCCTTACTTTTTTAAACATATTTAAAAATAAAATTAGTTGCAGTCTAATCTAAATTGTATAAATTATGACATTATATTAAACCCTAAAAGAATTAAGATTATTATTTTATGGACAATAAAAATATTTTACAAATTGACCGTTTATGTTTTGAGATGATTTCATATTTTTCACATTTGAATCTTTTTCAATGGTAGGGGTCGCCGAAGTTTTTTGTGGTGACAGTGGCTGCATAATTATAGTACCTTTAACATAAATTAATAGGGTTAGCAAACACGCGATTTCATTGGTCTTTAGAGCAAGCTTAAGTGTGTAAGAGTGTCTAGATTCTAGAAATGTAGGTCATAGTAGATTAATATCCAGTATTTCACGTAGGTACTAGTTTGCAGGTTGGGTGAGTTCTGTGTGATATTTATTTATGCAGTTTGGACATCGGTTTTAGAGTCATACATAGGCACATCTAGGTACATTTCATTCATTCATTTTTATTTGTAGGTAAATACTTATAGCATCTTTTTTTAAGGGGGATAAATCATCGTATGTCTTCTCCCGCCTGGGTGAGGCGGGAGGGAGCGTCAGACTCTTACATTCTAAAAACCACCCCGTTCCTTCTCCTGCACTTCGACCCGAGCCCCGGTAACCCGTTAGGTTCTCCGCGACTCCGAATCGGCATTAGCCCTATTGGGCCCCATCCGTGGTGGTCTGATGGCTCTTTGAGGCGGGTCTACTTATAGCATCTTTAAAGTGACACAAAGTCATTGTCATTTAGTATAATATATTTTTATTATTTTCTCACTGGAACTCACTGGAAATTAGGCGCGTCAGTTTGCATCGGCTATGGTGGTGTTTTCATAGTTACTTTCCAGCCTAATGTTGATTTATATTTGATATTGCACATTGTAAATAAAATATTATCTCCGCTGTCATATCTTTATTAAATATATACTGAGTGGCCGTCTACTGCAAGCAGTACATAGGCTTTAGTTTTATTGTGTCAATGCATATTACCTTATTATATTATTATAACTTCCGTGAAATATAATATAATACTAAATTAATTATTATGTTTTTCGGCTTACTCACGTAATTATTTAACGTGGAACTCGATTAGTTTCAAGCCTTGCCAGAGGCTCATATTAATGAGCAGCATTCCGCGACCCGCGACGCGGCGACTGTCGCGCTGCTAGATGCTGCTGCTGCGTAGCAGCGCGGCGACTGTCGATTATTTATAAGCATACATATGAGCTTGAAACTTGTTAAGTTCCGCGTCAAATAATAATTACATGAGTAAACCTAAAATCATGACTGCCTCGTTGGGCGAGTGGTTGCAAGTGCGACTGCCGGTCAAGGGGTCTCGGGTTCGATTTCCGGGTCGGGCGATGTACTACTGGGTTTTTATCAATTCTCAGTAGTAGCACGGAGTCTGGAATTGTGCCCGGTATATGGCAATAGGCTCACCCCCTATTACATGGGACTCATAACATAAATAGTGAAAAGTGGATGTTACATTGTACAGTGGCATAATGTACACCTCTGCCTACCCCTTCGAGGATAAAAGGCGTGATGTTATGTATGTAAACCTAAAATCATGATAATTAACATATTAACTTAAATAACGTGAAACAGAACAGCTATTTCTTATTTCAAAATTCACTAAAATCGTTGACACTTTACCTTTAACAACAAACTTATCAAGCACTTATTCATAAGACTAAAATTAAGATACCTATTTATTAGAACATACAGAGATATGACAGTAACTATGTCGAGTTAAAATATCCAACACTAGTCACTAGGCACTTAGTAACGATAGCTTAGCCCAAGATAAAAATCTTTACCCATAAGCATCAATATTAACGGTGTAGGCAGAGTGCCAGGTGATTCTAGATCAAATTGCATTTGGCACGATTTATTACGATTCGAAGAAAGTGAGCCTGGGAACTGAAACAATACACAGGTACCAGTCTATTGTAGAATATGTAAAAGTTTATAAGGGTATGTGGACATTTGTTACTTTCATATGTAAAACCACTGAGCGGATTTGAAGGTTTGGCAAAAAGTGATAGGACCCGTGAATCCCCAAGCGGTCACCGGTGACCGCTCTCCACTAACTACATTATAGACCTTATTTCTGATGTTTAAAGACTACTTTTGTGTGAACAAATTTAGGGTATGATTTTGAATAGTTTTCAACAGGTTAAGTATAATTTACAATATATGGTATAATCTCTATACTCTACAGGATCATAATTTATGTTCCTAAATGCGAATGCAAAAGCTAAGTAGTTATAAATTTGTTGATAGTACTAATATTTTTATAGACAACTTACATGTTTTAAATGATAAGTAGCAATGTAAACTGTTTATTAACGTGACTATCGTGACATAGGTAAATAATGGCGATTATAAAAATAATAACAATGTAAAAAATACTATATAATAAGTAGGTATTTAGTTACATGTAAAAAGTACCGACAAAGCATACAAATTATGAACCTCAAGACTAAGAAATAGAAGCGCCTACAAAATTTTATATAGTTCAAATTCACATGACTACTATTTTGCTGCTAGAATTCATTGTGTTTATTTGTATCGTTTTTTTTTTAAATCAGAATATGTCATTAGAAATTATTGGTAACAAAATCTTTTTGAAGAGTTAAAATAAAAAAAGGTAAATAAATGTAGTGAAGTAATACAAAACAAGTTTTATTCAAAAAGCGGTAAATTATTACGCTTGTTAATTATTATCTATATGTTACGCAAGTGGCCACACTTAATCGATTTTCTCACCTTGTTAAGATTACTGTAAATCAGTAACCAGAAATACAATGCTTTGACTATTGTGTAAAAGCAGTTATAATTTATTATTTAACAATAACCTATGTATTTTAGATAATATTAAAACGGTTTTTATAAAGTTTTATAAGTGGTGGAGGCGAACCTAGTAGGATTAAAACTAAACTATCGGTGTTAGGTATCTACGTAATTAAATATACATAGGTATGAAATAAATTCGAAAATTAATTACGGTCATTAATTTAGAAACTGGGTAATAACAGAGTCTAGACTTATAGGTACGCGATATGTAGCAATTCTAAACTGCAATTAAAAATAGCACTCACTAAGCGGGACTTATGTCAGCTTACAACATAGAATGAATGAAACGGAACGCAGCGCAGAAATCGGCGCGAAACCCTCCTACGCGGGCCTTTCAAAAATCGTCACATTCGCGAGTTACGTTCCATACCGCGACCGGCCGCGCACCTTTCGCCGCACGCCGTTAACACTGGCTAAAAAGAAAAAACAGCATATTGAATTTCGAATAAAAATAACAAGCTCGATTTAAAAAAAATCAAGAGCGATTTTTGATAGCGCATTTTATTTTGTTTATTTTTAAATTAAAAATAATTTTGTGTTTGTGAAAATGGTTCGTAAAATCAGTGGACTCCTGTGTTGCCTCTGCGTTTTCGGTATTTCGTTTAGTGACAGCGCTATATCAGCTGATTCCGTAAGTATAAAATTATTAAATAACAAAGTTACTAAAAATATTGAACGTTATGATACAAAATAAGCATAGGTAGGTACAATGTTCTAATTCATGCAGCAAACAGTGTAAGAATGCAATTAAATTGATTGACTTATGAATGTAATTAAATTGCAATAACTTTCATTGTTAATTGATAAATGCAGGAAGTTCAATTAGTAAATTAACTTAGGTAAGATTGTAGGTATGTTTACTACTACTTTGGTTTAGGTAACATGTAAAAGCGTTTCCTAAAAGAAAAATGGTAATTTATTAGCTTAACTGAAACATATGAGAAATACGTCAAATCATCAATAAAACAGTAACCAAATATTTAGAGTCTGTGATAACATCATTCTATCAACAGAACTATAACAAAGAAATCAATTTTCTTTTGTGTTGTTCTAAATTCAAATTCAGTTTTTGCTGGCCATGATTTGTGATGACATGACAGTTTATCTAATAAGGTTTTAATCTCCGTTTGTGATTTAGATATTCAAGATATTTAAACCTGTAAGGCTGACCTTAGTTTGGCATAAAGCTGCTCTAGTTACTAGGCCGGCCTTGAGTATTGAATGTAACTTGTCATACTGGTGGACACTATGTATTATTATTTATTTAGATTAAGGTCCTATACGTATGTACCTAAGTTTTTATTTTCCTTGTGTGTATAGATGACCAGTTCTAGATTCTAGAATGTTAGTAATTAATAGAATTTTATTTTGAAATTGTCGTTTAGTATTACTTTAGATCGGTTGTTTTTAAAGAAATTGCTGTTTTTTTTAATCTATACAAGAGTAGATTAAAAAATACGTGCAGGTTGTTGCATAATTATAATGCCTATGCATCTATAATAGCTATTGTATGGACCCAGTGATTCATACGCAATACTCATTTAAAGGTACATAACTGTTGTAGGTACCTACTATGTAGGTAACATGCACAGCACATAAACCTTGACTGGATTAGACCTGATTATTTTTACAATTAGATTTTAACGGGATCTTGGAGGCCCTTCATTATGACCTCGTATTTATAATTATATTCAGTGGATAGCAAATTGGTCGTTTAAATGTCTTTTCAGTTTTACATAATCTTACCAAAAATATCCAAAGAGATGAGCAGCGCTTATATTTAGTCAAGACATAATATATAGGTACCACTTTTAGCCTTTTCAGTAAAGGATCGAGCAAGATTACTATTAAACTAGACTTGCCAGAATGGATGTCACATAGGTATGGGACAAGCCCGTCACAACCTCCCAAAACCGCTGCAACTCCTGTAAGCCAGCATGTACAGTAGATACAACCATGAAAACACTGGAACACTGAAGTCCGGCCGCATCCAAGGGACATGAATAATAACTATCTGTGAATAGAGGAGAAAAATGAATAGGTATAGGTGATCAGAACTTAGGTTAAATATACCTAAATGTAGTAGTATTTTACCTGATATAAATGCCATTTCTTACAATGCGTGTAATAACTGTTTCTACATATCCCAAGAAAACTCGACTTTAACTCACGGAAAACTAAAAGCTATGTTTTCCTTTACAGAGTCGCGATTTAATAATGTATTAAAACACATTACTAAACATTGAATCATAAATTCAGAGACTTGTTTAATTAGCTATAAAATTGAAGGAAATATGTATAATGCAACCTTACGTACTTAGCTAGGCAGACGTTGACCAATATGAAGCGAATCAGGTGCCTTCAACAATTGGTGCGTGGAGCAGGGAAAGTGTTCATTCAACGGTGTATGTTATGGCGTATGCTAATTATGGAGTACTCATTCACAATGAGTCCAAGTCTACCATTTAATATGGCTGGTATTCCGACATAATTCCATAGGTGTTATGACTTGTGACTTGTAATTGTGGATGAGGTTGCTTCAGGTTTCTCATGGTTTAATGTTACACCTATGTTTGTGTAAACACGTAAGAAAGAAAGGACTAGATACCTATTAACATTACAAAATTAGTTAAAGTTGGCATTTCCAAATAGAAAAGTTTTATAATACCTACTTTTTTCTGTTTAACCTTAAAGCGGGCGCGCGGTCTTTTGTAACGGGAGCGGGCGCGCGTAATCGAATAAACCTATGGGATGAATAAGACCAAGAAAGCAATAATTATGGGATAATCATTTATTAATTTGTACTAAGATACATTATCATTGTATTTAAAGTGAAATTTGTCACAAAAAGTAATTAAAATTATGAAAAAGAAGCAATTATTAACTTTTTAATTTTCTTTTTTACCGATTTCAAGATCTTTTTTTTTTAAAGCGATACATCTACTCTACTGTTATCATTTTGATCAAAACAGTCTCAGAATTAGAAATGAGAAGCAATAGTTTTTAAAGAAACAATAGATAAATGTTACAGATACGATGTTACTATAATTGTAAGAATATAATGCATTTTGATATGCTTTCACATTGAAACGGATTAACCGGTTACGATAATAATTGCAACAGATAATGGCTGTTTCTTTACTTTCTTTGTTATGAACAATTTTGTAGAGCTTCAGTAATTTAAGAAACTGGATATTTAAATGCGAACTTTTTGAAGACAATCACGCAATTATATTTTCTCTTTTAGCCAACTTTTTTAAAGATACGATCATTTATTTCGTATTTTGGTATCAAACAGCCTCGCTGGCTAAGCAGTCGCTAGTGCGACTGCCAGGCAAAGGATTTCAGGTTTGATTCCCGGATCAGGTAAAGTATTACTAGATAAAAACATTCTCAGTAGTAGTACGGAATCTGGAATTGGGCCCGGTATATGGCAATATGCTCAGTCCCTATTACATGGGACTCATAACATAAATAGTGAACAGTGGGTGTTACATTGGACAGTGGCATTAAGTACCGTAATATGCACCTCTGATAAAAGGCGTGATGTGTCCACGGGTGGAGATCTTTTGCCCCAATATCCCATACAAGAACGTTAAGTCAGAAAAAGAGGATAAGACCTATGTCATATTTTAAACTGTCAAACACCAAGCGGTCACCGGTGACCGCGACCTATTGTTCTTTAATTGTGTCTATAAATACGGTACTCGACGAGTTAATTGTTTTAAATAACCATCAGTAGGTAGTTACAATAAGCTACGATCCACAACCTAATACAAAATGTACCAGGATATTAACCGTCCGGACACCTGGGTACATACATTTTTCTATACACCCTTTTCACACATTCAAAATATAATCTAACTACAAATCTAGAACAATTTATCACAATCATATCAGTTACAGTCACTGAGTTTAAGCGAAACATTATGTTATTAGTTTACCACCATTTTGTGTAATATCTTAATTACCATAGATATTATATTTATGAAACCATGTGGTTACATTGGGTAGGTTATATATGAGTGGTAGTATGATATATGTGGGTACATTTCTTGTTTATTAAAAACTTTTCTAAGCCTAACAAAGTTGCCTTGTGATTTTAAAATCAACTTTAAAGTTATAGCTATATTGGTATAATTTCAAATGCTGCTAGAATGTAATAAGGCTGGATTTGACTTGTACATATAACATTTCAATAAAAGTTAAGCACTGATTGATTTCTTTGCTAATGAAATGTCTTCAGTAATCTAGACTTAATATTATTATTAATGGTTCTTTATAATTTATTGGTTTTGCACAACGTTTATAATCATGTTCTGTGTTGATAGATTAAGTACAAACTCTACACAAATGTGATGAAGTATCTATCAACCAATTATGTTTTTATAGAATAAAAGTGACGAGAAAAAGCAAATGTATTCGTTACTATAAAAATGAGTACTCGTTACTATCATATCGTTACGTTACTCGGTACTTATGATACCTTAATATAATCCAAACGAATCGAAACGAGTCGTATATTATGCGTGTGGAACTGCAAAATCAACTATTAATGGAATTTCCTAAAATAAAAGAAAAAGCAACATATTGAATAAAACCATTTATGATTTTTTTATGGCATAAGCCGGTAAACGAGCAGACGGATCGCCTGATGGTAAGTAATCGGCGTCACCCATGGACACCTGGAACTTCAAAGGCGTTACAAGTGCGTTACCGGCCTTTTGGGGATTAGGAGTTTGAGGATCATTGGGGATTCAGGAATTGGGGAGATTGGGGAAGGGGAGGGTAACTGGGCCTCCGGTAACCTCACTCACACGACGAAACACAACGCAAGCGTTGCTTCACGTCGGTTTTCGTGCCGAAGCATGGCTCTCCCATCCTTAAAATAAATAAACCAAAAACTATATTTTAACGATACAACACATGCTTAAGAACGCAGGATCATGAAAGAGAAATTGCAATTCAATACTCAATACTCAATACTCAATACTTTATTGCTTTTCACATGTATTACTTAGGTGGTAAACATAATTCAAAGAGATTATAAGATAAAAAGAGATTGACACCCTTTATAAAGTTCGATGTACGATTACATAAACGTAACTTGAATGCGGCGGTTGCCATAATACCGTCTCCATAGCAAGTTGTGAATCAATTACTTTCAAACCACAAACTAGATGACTTTATAAAACATTCGTATACCTGAGACGTAATAGTACCTAATAAGAATCTCAATAGCAGATAGGCACTGATGGTTCCTATATCAGTTATGAGTGTAAACATGAACCGAACCGATAAGACCTTCAAGAAAAGAGCATATTCCCTTTTTAAAACACCGGCAACGCATTTATAACTTCTCTGGTATTGCCGTGGGCAGCGCTGATCGCTTACCTTCAGGTGATTTTGACGTTTGCCCCCTATTCCATAAAAAAATTAAGAGGCTCGACAGTCGGTTGAACTAAAGTAGATCTGTTTACCCTCTTACTTTAACTGGAATACAAGCTGCAACACAAGCATGATTTATTGCAATTTCAATGACAAAATATTTTATTATATACCTACGTAATTACAACAAAAGTCATAAGATTTTTACCAGCGTCAAAAGTTTTGCCATCTCTGACTTGAAGA